ATCAAAATTTTTTTATCGCACAAACAAATTTTTCAAAGATCTCAAAGGAGAGAAAAGTTATCAAATAGATGACATCAGAATCATGTCAAGATGAGTTACAAAAATGTATATATCAACTCAAGTGTAACTTGACACATCAATGATTAGCGACATAATAAATGTAAACTTTGTTTTTTAATGCGTGCTAAAGTAACTATATACATATCTACTATGAGTAACCTCTACTTTAGTTCTAACTAACTAAAAATGTTTACATCTACAAACAACGTATATGGATTCCGCAAGATCAAGTCTTACGCACAATGATTTTATCAAAAAATCATGATACAACCATTGCATGTGATATGGGAATGAAGAAGACATTGGAGAGCATCCAACGAGTTTATTTTTGGTTCAAACTACTCAAGGATGTGGATGCCTACGTTCAAAGTTGTGTTGCTTGTCAACAAAACAAGTCAAGTAATAAAAAACAAGCTTATTTATTACAGCATCTTCATGTTCCCGAACAACAATAGGAGCATGTCACCATGGATCTTGTATATGAGTTACTAAAAAATTTGTTAGTAAATGATTCAGTGATAGTTTTTTGGACAAATTGAGCAAGATGATTCACCATAGACCATCCACAAAAGCAATGACGATTGTACTTAGATGCTGTTTTAGTGAATAATGAATTAAGCAAAGTTTTAATCACTAATAGAGATATTCATTTCACTAGTTTGTTTTGGAAAAATTTGTTTAGTTTTTTCAAAACCAAAATAGCAATGTCAACAGCTTATCATCTCCAGACTGATGGCCAAATAGAGAGAGACAATAGAACTATAGAGTATATGCTACGTGCATTCACATTAAAAGAGCAAAAAGAGTGAAATACTCTTTTGACACTTGTAGAATTTGCATACAATAATACTTTAAATGCATACACAAAAGTTTTTTCATTTTATCTCATGTACAATGTTGATTTCAATACTCCATCAAGTTCGATGAAATTTTTGAAAGGAGAGGAGTTTTCAACTAAGGTAACTGAGGTCAATAAATTTGTGAAACATATTCATCAAGGACTACACCAAGTAAAGGAGAAGTTGTTCATTGCTCAAAATTGACAAAAACAACATGTTGATGCTCATAATCAGGAGTTAGTTTTTCAGGTAAGAAATCAGGTTTGGCTATCAACACTAAGTTTGTCTCTTGTAATAACACCAAAGTTTAACCCTAGATTCATTGGTCTTTCTGTGATATTGAAACGTGTTGGTGAAGTGTCATACAAATTGGATCTTCTGTCATATATGAAAATACACCATAAATTTAATGTGTCACAATTGCGAAAACATATACCATGATCAAAACAATTCATAAACCAACTAGTGTTAACTCCTTTACCAACTTTGATAACGGATCAAGAGTAATCTGAGGCGAAAAAGATACTCAAGAAACAAATTCAAGGCCATAACTTTCCCAAGGTTGAATATTTGGTTCAATGGAAAGTATATACATCATACAAATCAACTTGGAAACCAACTAAAATCTAGCTAATGCACTGTTGATAGTTCAAGAATTTGAACGGATGTGCAAAGAGGATGTTGCGTCTTAAAGGAAATGAGGTTTGTTACTATCTTTAATTAATTAGAATTCAAATAGAGTTTATTCAAGATGTTTATATAGTTATTTTAGCGCGCACTGGTCATAACTGCCATGTTAGTGATCTGCGTGCTTTGTAGGTAGAGAGCAAGTGTGTTAGTTGGGAGCGTCACATGAGCAATCATGTGCCTGTGAGGGTTATCCGCCACGTCAGTTATCCACTAGGAGTGAGATGGATGGTGTATTTAAGATATTTATCTTTGTACTTGTTAGTAAAAGCTATATAAGGAGAGTAGAACCATTGTTGGTATCTCTCATCTTGATAGTTCATGTTTTTATTTTTAAGCGCGTTTCTCTCTAAACACTGATGTTACGCATGAAAAATATTTGAAGCGAGTTTCAAAAGCTAGCAAAATGAGATATAGAGAACATTATATCCTAAATTTTATGCAAATGGACAAACGTTTGGATGAAATTTGCAAAATGTTAATAGATGTAGACTTCAAATGCATTATAAATATTGAGAGTCAATGTTACATCAAAAAATATCATCAAGATCACACTGCATAGTCAATATGGATAATGATGCTATCAAGAAGAGCAAAAATAAATCACAATGATACTTGAAGTTAGCGTTTCAAATGGGAATTTTTTTGCACAGATTATTGTGAAGAGCGCTCGTCCACGCGCTTTGAAGAATATATTAAACATCAGTAAGTCATTTGAAATCATATATAATCATCAAGGTAAGACAAGATACATCGTCTTATATGCGCATATTGCACAATTACAACATAATTGCCAAGAATCGCAATTTCATAATCTATATATTCCAAGAGAACTGATGATTCAATTTTTGTGTGGACAAAATTTTGAATCCATCATGATCATCAAAAACGTTATTTTGGTATCAAAATATGTGTATCATCTTTTTTGTATCAAATGCTATGAACGAATGTTAACCTTTTGATCAAAGAATAATTTGGTCTTTCACAATGCATTTTTTCCGTGTTCATTTGAACCATCTAATGTTTGAATATGAAACTAGTAAGCAAATAATGAGCATCACATTTTTAATTTTTAGTTGATAATCATACACACATGCGCAAAGTTCTTGGCCAAATTAGATTATCAAATTATATATTTATCACGTTTACATGCACAACAGTCTTGGTCAAATTAAGTTATCAAATTTAATATTCATCATGTTTACATATTCATTGAAATCATCAAAAAAAATATAATTTGACGCTGCTTTGTCAAAGATAATTGCATCTATTGTTTTCAACGTGATATCTAATCAAGATAAATGTATTAATAAATCTACTTCCAATTCAAGTAAAGATGTTGATGATTTAGTAAAAATTTTGCAAGAAATTTGACTCAATGATTCTTTCACAGCGTACATAGTTCTTGATGATGCAAATATTGAACAAATTGTAAAATATCTAATTGAAGTGGATGCTATCGATGCTATTGGCAACAAAAAAATTAACTATGTTAGCATTTTCACTTTCAAACTAAAAAACAGGAAATAATAATGTAGGAAATAATAATTTCCTACAAAGTGAGAATAATTTAGATGACTATAGTGTTGTTGAGATTTTATCTTTGATGATAGTCAAGCAACCAAATTGATCAATCATCGATTTGATCAACTTTCTCTCTTGAATCATATTTATTGGCAGAACTTCAAAATAACATGCTCTTTGAATTCAAAAGAACTCATCTTGTGTTGATCTACAAACAAAATTTTGATAAAGTTGGATTGTTGATACTTGAAGATACCATATATAATAAAATATTTTACTCTAGTTTTGAACAAGTGAATTTTTGAGATAGACGTTTACATAGACTTATGTCATATTACTCTTTCTATAATGTTTAAGAAAAAAATTACGTCTGGAACTTCCATTGACAATAGTACAATTTCACAATTGTCATTTGTAATGTACTGTTATTGGATAGATTTACTGGTTACAAACAAATCGATCTGAAACTCAATATCGCAAATGGTAGTGTGAAATTATTGAGTGCACATACATATATATATATATATATATATATGAGTGAATAAATATTTATATTATAAATCTAACATTTTCATGAATATGTAAGAAATTTAACATCTAGCATGTTTTTATAAACCAACCTACTAGATGACATTTTATCACTATCTAATTTAAAAAAAACAATTAAGTGTGCATCATACTATAAGTTAGATAATGATAATAATACTAGATGCTATTGTACGCAATATACTTCTTAAGATCTGAAAAATTTGAGATAAAAAGTTGGTTATTTTAGTTGCAGTACTATTCTTTTTTTGACGTTTGATCCAATGTTACATTTATGGTTTTATCCACAAAATGCTAGATGGTATCTTTCCATCCTTCTGTATTGTTTGATACTCTTGGTTGCTCTGTGTGAACATATTAAAATATTCCATCTATTTCAGGGAGTCAATTTTCTGTCGAAAAAATCCAATGCTTATATTTAAAATTATGTATACCAAAAAAACAACAGATCAAAATTTTATTGTTCATGCATGTGTTTCTTTGTAACTCAAAACTATCATGCATATACTTAGAACTTATCTTCTGGATTTAAGAGTATAATATTACCATAGTATGAAGCAAGGATAACATACCAAATGGTTATAGATGTATATAGTTGAAATTCATTGTATGTTGTACACACTATACATAAAACTGATTTAGTAGATTAGATACATTTACTGGCATGACTATATATATATATATATAATTAATTGACTGAAAAAATAATGAAAAAAACGCTTGCCTGGATGTAGAAGTCAAACATGACGGAACCAATCTTGACTCAAGCGCATTGAACATGAGGATATCTCAACGTCAATGTCAAGGTATAGCTACACTACGGTCATTAGACATTCCATGTTTCAGGGGAAGGTATACCGTGAGCACTTGACTTGTAACTGAACTACCGGTTTTTTCCTGCAGCCGTCAGCAAATACGATGTTGGAGGGCAGATGGCCTTGCATCGAAGGGTCTCGGATTTAGAAATCTAAATCGAGCCTATAAACGGAGAGTTGAAAGCGATTAAAAAGTCAAATTTGGATGTCACGCCTCGACCTGACAATGTGGGGGAGGCCTGACACTAGTCCGAGGCAGCCACTTCGTCATCAGTGAGTGACTGCTGGGCACCAGCGAATGCCGGTAATCAAGAAACCGATTCCGCCTTGTAGGACCGGTCACGACGGGTTCGGTGATCGACAACCGGGGCGGGCGGGCCATGATGACGGGCGAAGAAAGTCCAGAAGAAGAAGCTCGGGCAGCGCATGAGACCCGCGCTGGATGGGCCGGGCGTGGGGGCGTATACCGGTTCTTATGATGACAAGTCGGATATGGGAGCGCGGGCCGCGATTGTGGCCCGCGAGCAGCAGCAGCAGCGACGAGAGGAGAGGAGAGGAGAACGGGGAAGAGAAACCGTGGAAAGGCAGAAAGGGAGAAAGGCAGGCACGAGACAAAAAGATCGAGACGAGAAAAGATCGACGAATGTGCGAGCAGAGGAGGAGCCGAATTTGCCTTGTTTCGGGGCCTAGGGAAGCCAGCGCCTGTCCTCGCTCTACTGGCAAAGAAAACGAGCGAAATCGAGGTGGAGAGACGGAGGATTGATTGCTGATTTGTCTATCTTGAAACAAAGAGGTGGACGGCGAGAGTAGCGGGAGAATCCGGGAGGTGATCGGAGACGAGGACGAGGAGGACGAGGACGAGGAAGTCGGAAGAGGAGACGGGAGGCGTGGAGAGGGAGGGAGGAAGATTGCGCAATGGCTTCTTGCGGAGGAATCATTGTGTCGGGAGAAAGGAGGAGAGAGGAAGCATTATGAACTGGTGTGGGAGAAGGGACGTCGGGAAGCGAGGAGCTTCGGAGAAGAGGTGTTAACCGCTTTGTGCGGTGCTGGTGGTAGAGGACGGGATTACGGTTGGGAATTCTTGGCGAGGGGAGACTGGACGAGAATGGCTCACAGTTCCCCGAGCTAGCGACGAGGATGGCATTTTGACCCAAGGCCTGCAGTCTCGTTGCTTGCTTCTGACGACTGGCGAGAAAGAGAAAGAGAAAGAGAGAGGAGTGCGGGAGCGAGAGAGACTGAGATGAGGGAGAGCAGGAGTTGAGGGAGGAAGGGAGGGAGGAAGGGAGGAAGGGAGGAAGGGAGGGAGGGAGAGTAGGGTTTGATAATTCCCCGAGGGTTCAAGCTGGCATTTGTAAACCTGGCGTTCACGAGTACAGACACGATGATTGGGGAGAATCTGGCCATAATGGCGCCCTTGCCATTGCAGGCTTCTCCCACGGTATGTATGTATGGAGGGGACTCGGGAGCAATTGGCCACGAGGCTGCTAAATGAAAGAAAGAAAGAAAGAAAGAAATCCAGAAAACGTTGGCTAGATGTTTATTCGGTTCCGGTCTGCAGTGCAGACATTTGCTTTTTGGATTAAATCGAGACCGATTGAGGGCAGTGGCGGAAGGAGAATTTGCTGCATTTAGATTAAGACGAGCGCGAATAAAAGCTTCTAGTCAAATTACTCGTATCTTTCGTGGATGACAAGGGAAAATTCTGTCTTGTAAGTTTCGCCTCTTAGTGTGAACGAGCTGGTTGTTTTATTTCGAGACATCTGAGAAAGATGAGGACGAGTCGGAGGGAGAGAGAAGACAGAAGTGTGAACTCTTCTTTTTGCTTGCAAGAAATTCGAACGAGCTTGCCAGAAATTCAATTTCTTTTTGGGCCCTCTCACCTTCTCAACTCACGCACAGGTTCTTGGTACCGGGGCAGCTCCGGAGTGATTACTGTTTGTGGATGAGGGCACGCCGTTGAAAGTTAGTGGCCTGTGTGCTTTCTTGCATTTGGTCTGCAGGTGACGGGAGAAATTTCGGCAGTTACTCCCGGGCGCGGACGCCGCAAGGAGGACCGCATCCCGCAATGGGGATATCATGAGACCAAGGAATTCATCGCCATCCGAGCCGAGCTCGAGAAAGATTTCACGCAGACCAAGCGCAACAAGACGCTATGGGAACTCATCGCCGGCAAGATGAAGGAGAAGGGCTTCCGTCGCAGCGCCGACCAATGCAAGTGCAAGTGGAAGAATCTGGTGAACCGCTACAAGGTCTAACAATCTCCTTTACCGGTCTCGGTGACTGACAATCTCCCCCGCCCGCTCGCTCGCTCAATTGCGCTCGCTCCCGCCCGCCTGCCTGCTCGCTCGCTCGCCCTCCATTCATTCATTCATTCCTTCATCTTCAGCCCTTCCTGGCTTGCGGCTCTGCGGCTCTGCTCTCGTGAATTTTTCCAAAAGCCAGCATTGCCGTCTCTTGTTGCGTAGCAGCGATGCCCCTTGTTGTAGCAGCAGCAGATGATAGCGTCATTTGATTTTCTCTGTCCTTTGCTATTTTTCTAGGGTTTTGATGAGGCGTCCGACTTCTCTCCACTCTCCCAGTTGTCAGCACGGGTTGATGATGAACTGGCGAGTGAACATTGTGTCATCGTGAGTATTTCAAAGGCTGTCAACAGTGCCAAGACAAGAAGCATAAAACTAGATCAGATCGTCGTTCATTTGTTCCGTTGTTCGTTCGTTGAATTGTTTCGATGGGAACCTTGTCCATTCCTCTGCCACTGTCGTCGTCTTCTGCTCTGTTAGCGTCCGCATGCGCGATCGCTCGCGGTTGCAACAGCAGCCTAACGACAAATGTGTCCGTTTGCGTGGCTCGGGCTGTGCGTCGCTGCAGGGCAAAGAGACGTCTGAGCCGGACAACGGCCGCCAGTGCGCTTTCTTTGAGGAGCTGGATGCGATTTTCAAAGAACGTGCCAAGAACATGGACAGGCTTCTGCTGGAATCCGAGTCGGGGTCGAGGCCGAAGAAGAAAGCCAAGCGCGTGAAGCGCATTCTGGGCGGGGTGAAATCGTCGGACGACGACACGGAGGACGAGGAGGACGAGGAGGCCGACAGCGAAGACGAGCGCATTGTGAGACGGAAGAAGCGGAAGGCCGACAAGGAGAGGCAGCGGGTGACGGCCGAGAAGTACCGCGCCAACAGCATGCAGGAGGTTCTCGAGGACTTTTTCCAGCAGCAGCAGCGGGTGGAGGATCAGTGGAGGGAGGGCGTCGAGAGGAGAGAGCACGAGAGGCGGATGAGGGAGCAGGAGTGGCGGGAGGCCATGGAGAAGCTCGAGCAGGAGCGCCTCCTCCGAGAGCAGGAGTGGCGAGAACGGGAAGACCAGAGGCGTGCGCGAGAAGAGGCTCGGGCCGAGAAGAGAGACGATCTCTTCGCCGCACTCATAAGCAAGCTCACCCAGCACGATGGCTGATGCCTCCCCCTCCCCTCCTCCCTCCCTCCACACACGTTAGCACCACCACGAGACCCGCGCGTCTCCATCATTTTGGCGGAATTTGACAGCAGAAGTACTCGACCAGATGTTGTTCCCAGCCAGTTTCGGGCCACCGTTCGACGAGCAGTGCTACGACCCTCCTTGAACGAAGTTCCAAGTCGTTAAGGCGCAAGGCTACAATAATCTTCGTGGAGTGATTCTAAATTTACTTTAAGCAATTGTACAGAGCACACTGAATCTGAGCTATAGTGGGATTCGATCCTGACGTAAGAAGAAGAAGCTGAAGATGAAGAGGAAGAACCGGCATTCGATGATTGTAGTAAATTATCAGACTCGGGATGTGATTTGAAAATCCCCGGATCACCGTCATCCCAATAAAATTCAAAGTCAGTTCACAGATGATTATTCTTTCTTATGAGAAAATGAGCGTCGAGGATCATTCTGTGGGACTATGATGCAACAAAGAATGTAAGACAACTCATATAATTTCGGTTTCTCTGACTGGACGATGAATCCAAGGCTGCATGATAATTTTCGCAGGGGAAGGATGCTCTGGATTGTGGGTACAACTTGGACAACCTGATTAGTTCAGAACGTCACCTGCTGATGTCATGCACTTGTACGGCGACCTCGAGGCACGGAGTAGCGCAGATCTTCTTCCAGCTCTCCATCCGATCTACCGTACCATCGACATCTGAGCGCGCGTCTGCCACTTGTATTTCACCGAGATCTTGCAGAGCCCCACGGCCGTTGCCCATGGTTTCAATAGACAATGCTCCCTGTTTCATAGAGTTTGACTTCAGCTGTGAAACGAACACAAGTGACAGAATCGGAGAGGAAAGGCTGGCAAGCACAACCCCAGCACACCCTGTGACAGTTGGAGCAATTTTCGTTTCCTGCATACTGAAGAATTTATGTGGCCTTGGTGAACAAGAGAGGAATGTTCCCATACTATCATGGATTTCATATTTTCTCCTGCAGTTCAATCTCCGGTCAACAAACCACTGCAAAGCAAAGTAAGACCTTACGCGTTAACACGTCACAAGAGCAGGCGGGTTTCAAGCCCCTTTCACGCATTTCTGCATAATTTCTTCAAGACCTAGGACCTCGCTCTGCATCGGTCTTGTGAAGTAAAAAAGTGCGAAGTTTGCATCTCCGTCTACAAGACTCGCAAGTCTCTGTGACGCGACCAAGTTTATCAGCTACTTTCTCCTTGGAAGAGATTTATCATCGGATTTAAGGTTAAAGTCTTAGAAAATTCCAAAGCCTAAAATATGCGAGTAATTACTACAAAATTTATCAATACAATACTGCAGGGATCTGCAAGGATTAGGAGTATGCCCACTGCCAGTCCAGACAAAAACTGCACTCCGTTGTCATATCAAGAAGTCCCGACGCAATCATCTCTGAATATACGTTATTCATTTGGTAAAACTGACTAGTTTCAGGCGGCTTGAATGCGTAGCTCTCTGGAAAAAACTAGGGACATAGAAAGCGTCAAAATGGAGGACGAAATCGTTCCTTGTTTTAGCAGAACTTACCTCAATAGTGTTGCCTAGAAAAGTTGGAGTATAGGATGTCCGATCGATTGAGCTCGCACTAACCTTCAAAATTCATGGAGCTGCATTGGTGACAGATGCTTCACCATTAATGATCCCGTTGGAGCAGATTACTAATGGGCCTTGCTGCATGCCATGGTAGCGAGCTGCTACACTAGCTTCATGCCAGACACATTTCCCAACATTTCTGAGAATATAAGAGAGGAAAGGCTGGAAACGTACAATCTGGCGTGGACCACAAACGCACTTGGTCTTTGAAACCTCACGTAAAACGGCAATCAGTTCTGGAACGACTGGAAAAAAGGCTGTGTTTTTTAGTGTTCGAAACGTAGGAAAGCTGACTATAAAACAATGCCGGGAAGGTTGAGTAAAAGCAGTTGCCAGTAGAGATGTTTTGGTGCAGCGACTTTTAGAGTGACGGGCGATTATTGGGAAATGAAAGCCACATTCTAAAATATTTGTATTCAGCCAAACTGAGAATGTATCCTAATAGTATCAGATATATCTAATCCAACATATCGCATTCCAGCGCTACGCAGTATCCATTTCAAAGCAGACTGTACAAGTGACTTTCCGTTCATCATAAATTAAGAACATATTTCCGCTGAACTCTGACGAGAGAATTGACGAGCTTCACTCGTCAGAGTTCAAAGGTTCTCGGAAATACTTGTAGTGCATGCTCAACAAAATAGCATTGAGGTGTTAAGACCTTTGCAAGCGCAAATCATATAATCGGTACGTCAGTCAGTAAATGAGAATGAAGGTCTGGCTTTGAACATAACGTTGACAATCCAGTGTCGTATCCGTACATTCATTCAGTGTCGTTAAGTCTACTTTTGGAGATAGAGAGCACCCCTTCTTTCATGAACTTGAGATAGAAGCCGAAGGATGTATTTTGATCGGAGTTGTGACTTGTGTGCACACGATGGACCTCCGATATACATTGTAGGAAGGTGCAAGACAGTCTAATAATACAGTAACTATTGATTTCTTAGTACGTGGAAGTGTAGTGTAAAAATCGCGGAGCAGGACGGACCAGAGGACGTTGAACTAAAAATGCCTTGACAATGGGATATTCAGAATTGAGGCAATGATGAACATTCTTGAGAGCGAAACTGCTCTAAGATTTGTAGAGGGACATCCAAACTGGACGACAGACATTGGCAACAGTAAAACAGTAGAACTGCATGACTCTTATTATCGCTGCATATGTCTCTGGAAGGTCAAGAAAGACGACGGTTATAGCGACGATTATTTTGCACACTTCACATATACTGGACATTGTAAGAAGTTGTTTGACGATGTTAAAAGTAAGCCCACAGGGGGACCAGCGCAAAAGAGAGGGGCTAGCGAGTTTTGAACTCGACGTGAATCGAACACGCAACCTTCTGATCTGGAGTCAGACGCGCTACCATTGCGCCACGAATCCCCGATAACACAATCCTCGGCTCAAACAATTTGTTTTTAAAAAAATACTACAATATGGTGTTTCGATTCGTTTAAAAGTTGTAAGGGAGGACAAAAGGTTTCCAGGATGTGCGAGTTTTGAACTCGACGTGAATCGAACACGCAACCTTCTGATCTGGAGTCAGACGCGCTACCATTGCGCCACGAATCCTCGGGTGAATTTTTAAAAAGAATTCAAACTATTGAATATAAAACATTATTTTATCAGTACATACATCCGGGAACTCCATAGCCTCTCCTACAAAAGTAGATTCGCAATATACCTCCATCAAGATGCTTGTGAAAACCACTCATCCCATCTCTTTTTGTGTTCATCTCATTCCACTGTGCAAGATTCGAAACAAACCTCGCACTTTAAATCAAGAAGGGGGGCCACATGGATATAAAAACCTATAGGAAGACTCCATCAAGAAAATTAAAATCCAGACATGTCCTTGCTGTGTAATTTTAAAGGAGAAAAGAGCAGAGAATGCTGTGAGACACCTACAGGGTCGAGCATTTCCTTCTTCCTTGCATAGCTACAGTCCCTCTAGATATGAAGTTTAGAAATGCCCACCTATAATTTACGGTTTCCTGGTAGAAATCATAACATGTCTGAATTGAGAACAGACTTAAACTTCGAGGCCTTGCATTCTGCTGCTGCATTTTTTAACAGCTACAATAATAGATACCTTCCTCCACTAACTCAGGTTCTGCTCTACATATATTCTCTGCTGCAGTGACTTATCGTAATCACCAGCAAAGGGGAGAGTGTGCGACTTGACCTGCTGTTCCGAGCTAGACGGCATTACTTAGTTCATCACAATTCACAAATGACCGTGTGATGATACACTATGCTTGTCGAGAGCTATGACGTAAGAAAGTTACATGACTCTTTGCAGAAGCATGAGTGAGGGAGAGAACTGACGCGTGTGTACAAACAGAAAAGATGTGGTGGAAGATACAGAAAATCAGGAGCAGTAGTTCCCACACCCATCTTCGAGACTTTGGCAGCAGCCACCGTCATCACCCAGCAGTAACAGAATCCATGGGTCATGCCATGGGTCAAGTGATTCTCTCCTAAATAGTCAAGATTTGTTGCGTCAAAGATAGCGATAGCGATTCGACCAGTTAATTCAGTGAAACAGCAAGAGAAATCACTCGTTCCTTAAGCGAAAAGCAAGATCAGATCAATGATAAAAAACACTGCATGATGTCTCCTGTGACCGGACAAAAAATACCCTCCGCCGCAGCCGCAGCAGCAGCAACCATGCTTTCAACGCACTGTACAAAGATTTTATGAGATGCCATATAAAACTCCAGCAAGAGATGCAGCAAGCGTCTTTACCACACCAGCTTCGAACTACCTTAGGACACAATACCTCACACAAATTGCGCGAAAGCTATCGCACAATCTGTCACCGAAGCTTCCAAGCACTTCGCTCCCCATCTTAACACAAAATCCGCGAAACTCAATCCTTCCACCAAAGAGCCTACTGGGGAAAATAACAAGATAACAGGTTATTGTCATCGGTCTTCAGTCATCTTCTGTTCATCTCGTGGATCTTCCACTCGAAGAGACTTACCGATAAGCCATCCACAAATTGTGCACACACCGCGGCTCTAACGAACTCACATTCGCATGGCGCCGAGGGCAATGGGCAGCAGCGCCATCCCGTCTAGTTCTTGCGTGCGCAAGAACTCTTGTTCGAACTCTCCCTCTCCCTCTCCCCGCGTTTTCAACTCCCACGTCCGCGCATCTACATCCGCGCCCGCAAGAGCAGACGCGCCACGGTTTTGTCGTGTCCTGGAAGGTGCCCGGCGGGCAGCCGTGACTTCGTGCAAGAACGAAACGACAAAATAGTTCCGGCCCTGCGCTGCTTCCGAGAACCGGCGTGCAGCCGTAAACGAACCACGGACTGACGGACAGGCTAGCTGGATGTCGAGTTCTGCAATTGCCGTAAATGGATACACAGCTTTGCGGTGGATGTACGCATAGAAACGATAAAAGCTACATAAGTCAGTCCATTCTGCTTCCTAGAAATAATATGTGAGATATTGTTCTGCTCATGATCATGCCTCTCGACGTTAGCTCTAATCTCGATCTCTCCGTTAGCAAACAATTTCCTCAGATTGCTCCTGTTTCACTATCCACGTTGTCGTCGTCCGCACAAAATTGAATCAAAAAGGCTTAAATAGATGCCGAGGTCCTGATGGTGTAAGGTTTGGTATTGTACTGGGTATTCAGTAGGTTGGGTGTGGAATTTGTAGTGTAGTAGATTGGGGTATTGCGGAGCTATTGAGGATGCAGCATTTTTGTCGGTATGGAAGTGTTGTGATTGCTTCAACGTAAGTTTTGTACCGCTTCTACTCTGGACGAATCAGATAGGTCACTGATTCTATCGTGTGCCGAGATGTGGAGACGTGAGATGTTAGTGCATCTCGATTTGGAGCTGGAAGATGGGAGGACCACCAACTGAGCCTAATTTACCGCACTGGGTATTAAGAAGTAGCTAAAATTGGAGAAACCCATGAAGGCAGAATGGGCTGATCTTTTGACGTTGTTTGAGGTATTTTTGTGTTGTTCCAGGTGCCAGCATCATCATCGATGCTAGCAGTGGGAGAGCCAATCTTTGACCTGCAGACAACAGTTTCCGGACTTCCGATAGAGAAGCGTCGAGCCTGGATTCATATCCGCAACCATTAGGGGCAATGAAGTGGGACTCGTTGGTGTTAGCTAGTGATCCACGTGACTCGGAATACTCTTTACGACTACGGTATTCAAATTCCACCTTGTCGTTCGAAACTTGAGGGTCGGAATCCACATGTCTACGGAAAATGTCGACGACCTGCTGCAAACACCCTCGTCCACGAGTAAGAGAAGTGAACTTGACAGTCCACCTTCCACAGCTTAATTCTATCCATTCCGTTGCTGCAGAGACGAGCATTAAACTGGATAGATTGCAGAGTTACGAATAGTTTAGGACCAAATATGAAGCTTCAATTAAGAACCCCGCCTGTTCGTCCAGCGGCCCCTGTCGAGAGGATAGGTTTGGTCGTGGGGAGGATCAATAATGGTGCATCATCAAAATGAGCCAAACCCCGAGGTCCCAGCCAAGCGAACGCTGGTTGTCATTCCGACGAGCAACACAAATCACAATTTAATTTGGACGTTTAGGCTGTGGTTCTGTAAAAGCCTTCTATTGGAATGGGATGTTTCTGTGAAAGGTGGCATTAATTAATTTAAGGGGTGTCTTTTACATCGTCAAGGCGTGACCCGTTGAATGCACATGCGCATGTTTAGTGCCTGGAAGTGGTTCTGGGTTTGAAGTGCACTTCTAGGCACAGCTTGCGCATTTATCGACTCGAACTCACTTCAGCACAAACTGGTAATAACATTGAGGACACACAGCTTCTCACGTACAATCCCACGTGAATTGGTGACACTGTATTAGACATCGAGGAGAGTCACGAGACGCAGTGAGTCATGATCGGGGATTGTATTACTCCCAGAGGCACACACATTCCCCATTCCCGATGGGTTTTCGGCTGAAACGATCAGGTACATCACTTTGACGAGTGGGATATACAAGCTTCTTCACCGTCTGAGTTCACGGGCAATTCGGGCTCCGGAATCTGTTCCTCCCGTTGACCATAAGAAATCCCCTGCTGACTAGTCGTGGATCCACCTCCCAGTGAGAAAGGTTGGCAGATACCTTACCCGACTCCACAGCAGACAATTCATGTCAATGCAAATGCAAAAGGTGGTCAGTGTTGAGACGGTTATCCTCGAACTGGTTACATTCCTTCATTCTTATGTTACTTCAGTCGTATTCTCATATAACACAGACTGCACTTTCGTTCAATTATGCAACATGACCGCCCCAACGTCTCCAAAATCACACATGATACAAGAGCAAACAGTCAATGTCCTCGTATGTGCTTGAACGACTGGCGTTGAGAACAACTTTAAGTCACATACGGAGATAATAATCGACAGAAAACTCGGGCCCAGCTTAAGATCATTGTTGATCGAATTAGCATCACACCACAATTCTGAGTGACAAGCTTCCACATTGAGGCAACGGTAAACATGTCACTGACGGCATCGCAGGGCATCCTTTGTGGACAATTCACTAATAATGCATACATTGCAGGTTCTTAGTTCTTGCTCACTAAAATACGGTTTGTCAACAAGAGCTGTCACGCACTGTCTTACAGGAGAGAAGGACAACCACACGAAACATTAAAAAAAAAGACGGAAATAACAGTGACACCTTAAAGGACCAAGATAGAAATTCACCGTGGGTCAAGGTGTAAAGTAGTCAAGGTAAGGCTGCGATACATGCACCCAGAGCAAAACTTCGACCAATTAAAATAAGATTGTTTTCTCGAAAACAGGTGCTGCTGATAGATAGTCCATCCAGGAAAGCACTCCGGGTTAACATGAAAATGATAAAAACCACCTGGACTCCTTTACAGTCATCTTCACGAGGAGCATTTCCTCTCGCAACTATCCCTTGCCTTGAAGAGGCCCCTTCAACTGAGTCCTGCAATTTGAAGAGGCCGTTTATTCTCACCAACTATACTCATGCACTTCAGATCGTGGAGATTAAGAGAAACGAGAAGATAATACATCATAAGAGCAAAATGCATGACCGAGGGCTAACCTTAACAGAGGCACTGCTATTGAGCTCCGCATTGAGACTAATTAGATCGCACACAACAGAATTTGTTGATTGCGTGCGTGCTGTGTAAAAGGATGGAGGAGAAGGGCTTGGGCCCTCGAGTCCCTTAGAATACAGGCTGCTAGCCACTGTCGCTTGATGCCAAAATAAGTATGGGCAACTTAACTTTTACGGACTTTCCATGAAATGGACTTTTCATGAGATGGTAATTTGAGTAATCACGAATCATTGGCGACAACTTCAGTGCAGCTCAATTGTTTCAAGTCCGAACAGACATCCCTAAATATATGTGATTCGAGGGATCCCTGCTTCAATTGGTGAACGCATAAATTTTTACAAATACCTCTACCTTGACTAAGAAGAACAATTCACATTGAGGGTGTGGTGAACACTCCAGCCTAAACCTGGGGGCAAGTGGAATCTAATTGTACAACTCCAGGCATCCATCAAAAAATTTGAATGAAGAGGCTAGTGGAGCCGTCCCCAAACGATCTCAACCCTGCTGACTTCACCACTGCCCGACACAGTGGACAAGTCCTTTCTCTCTCGAACCTGGACCATTCAGACACCACATAAAACAAACAGCATTCTACGTCAACATCAACAAGAGCCAAAACTTGATTAACTCCACAACTTGAAAGGAAAGAAGGCCATCAGGAATAGCTAGTCTACACTAAAACATGAGAACAAATGATTAAAAATGTTCGACGCGCTTACCATTCTGAGACGCAGTCTTCGCAGAAGATATGCTTGCAGCGTAGAGAAATAGGCGCATGCATCTTCTCTTGACATATGGCGCACATGTCTCCTGCTGCTAATACCTGCATGAAATAAAAAACCATAAGAGCGTAATCAAGCAGGACACCGCTATCCGATTCTCCCTGCAAACAGATTACATGTTTTGTATAACAATTTCTAGGTCAAATTGACTTATCGACATCGAGAAAAAGAATATGTTCAAGTCTGACATGAATTACATTCAGTGTTTCAGTTTATTACAACATCGATGAGAGGAAACCTGTTACTAAACAGCAAGGTTAATCCCGTAATGCCACTCTTTGATAGAACTGTCGACATTTTCAGAATAACACACACTGAAAGACGAAAATTGTACTACAAACCTCTTCTGACGTGGCGTAGGCCCCATACTGCACCTCCCGTCGAGATAGAGCACAAAGTGCCGCAATAAATGTTTGGACCTGCATAATGTTTTCCATGTTAGTCTAGATGAACAAATATCCGTCACATTCATAGGATCTATGTGTTCGGAAGAATTAAAAGGAAACAGCCACTAAGAGAGTTAGCAAAGGGAGTCCAAATGAACATGTCACGGCTCTTGTACAAGACCTTAATTTTGTAAAACAAAAGAACAAACTCAAATGAATTGCCAAACAGCCCCTGAACTCACCTTCTCATAGGTAGAGGTGAGCTTGAAAGTCAGGTACAAGCCTGTTGTAAGAGATGAAAACAGATTTCCATACTCCTTATTCAGGAAAAAGCGATACCAGACAGGACCCGGTATAAGTGCCCTATACAGTAGCAATATATACTCCACTAGTGTCAAAAGCTGAGCCTGCGAAACCATGGCAAAAGAATGCATGCAGATCAGTCGCTTATTAACATCTCTTCATTATGCATGAATATCTTAAGCTACGTACGAGAAAATGCTTGCCAAAAAGCAGTCCTGACGAGAGGCGCTTCAGACAGATTCCTCAACAGAGGGGGAAGAGGGGGATGTACGGCATATTCATATGATTGAATATGACTAAGCGTCTAGGTATACGGCTAAAACGTACGCATGTAAGTGATCGCTGAAAACTAAAGTTGACAAACTTAGCAATCGAGAGACCGAAGAAAGAGGCGGAGAAAAGTTTGACAAGCGGAATACTTCTTATAGATATCACTATAACGAACCAGCAATAAAAGCGATGAAACCAGTTATTTAAGCAAAAACGCCAGTGAGCACAAATCCACATACCTGCCGTCGGTAGTTTCGACCTCTGCTGTTCTTGTAGTAGAGAAGAAGTCCAATTTTTAGCACCATGGCACTCAGCCTTACCATTGTATCTACAAGTGCAAGACAAGGGATAAACGGTAAATCCCCACGGCATGCATGTCTTCAGCATCTACCCAGTCCTACCAAGACTTACTACTAAGAATAAGAGACCTCGATGCCAGTCACCGTACTGAGAATAAAAACCAAATCGTTTACTTGTCGCTTGCATAGACATATCTCCCGACAGGTAGATGAATTACCATAATTTACGAAACCAACAGATGACTGCGTCTCTATAAACTGCTTTGAATACTGAACGAAGATACATGGTGAGCTCATCTAAGACACCAAAATCGAGAAGTACAAGTTGAATGCTTGCTAGACTTACCATTTACAACAATGATAAATATTGCGTGCCAAAACCTTGGAATCTCTCGGGGTGGAAGAATAATGACCAAAGGCCTCCACAGTGCATCCCCGCTGTACCACCAGTATACTCCGACAATGTGCGAGATCATGACAAGTGCAATAGCAACAAGAACGATAGTCTTCCTCTCGCCCTGGAGAAATGCAGAACGCAGTAGCAAGATCAGTTTCAGTTTCTGCTCGAAAAGTATCAAATGTCACTAGATTCGTAACTTTCCACAGCCTACATTGCGTACAATTTTCAGACTTATAATAAAAGAATGCTGATGAAGCTGCCACTGTAATTACACGATACTGTGTTGCGGATGCATACTATATAGTCTACAGATACGAAATTCTAAGTATCGCATCTCTTTCTGCTACAGTAAGACACTGGACGTTTCAAATTTGTAGCGCTAGCTCAGACGAGTTATAAATGCGGTTCTGATTCAAGGAAATGCAACTAGCATTGGTTCAGGTGGAAAGCAAATTTTGAATGATCTCAATCAAGCTGGGCATTTAAAACACATACCTTTAGAGCAGTTTGCTTGCGCAATAGGTCATTTGCTTTAATCATCACGGCAGAAATCCAGAAAGTTACAAAGAAACCTGCAGTTTCACATGCGGAATGAGAGTGATTAGAACATTATATGTGAGGTCAGAGAGCTCCCTGAACACAGAGAACGACCCTAGACGGTCCCCGGCACGTGTAATTCATAAAAGGACGGTCCTCCATACGTCATGAGCAGCCATACCGTGTAAATGCTGTCGTATAAAGACCATCAGCAGAAGAATCGTGAAGGGCAACGCCTGCTCAATCCACCTCGCGAGCTGCTGGAAGTCATACCTCTGGCCCCCCACTTCTCTCCCAGTTCCTGTATTTCCATTCTCAGATACTTCCCCTCTCTCCTCCGTATTCGGAGACCGCGGAGAGTGTAACGAGTTACTACCGTTATCCGCGGGAGGTATTCTCATTGTAGGTAAAAGAGAAGAGAGGGGTACTTGTGAAGTACTAGCCCCACTCTCTGATGAGTTTCTACCATGGGAGTTTGCTGACCCCTGGCTCCCTCTGCTCCCGTCCTGTTCACCAATTATTCTAATAGACACCTCTGCACCGCTATCACCGTTTCTCTCGCTGTCACCATTAGACGATCCTGATGACGGTTGATTCTCAACTTCAGCATAATGAGATCGGCCACGAATAAGCCCCGAAAACTCGAGAATGGCCGAGATAGGGGCGGGTAGTAAACTCGAAGCGAATGGCATCCCATACCTTCTTGAAATGCCAGTCCGAATTCCTTCCGATGCTGATCCTGAACTCTCCATAATTTTTCTGGTATTTATTCAGTGATGACCTAAAATACCGATTCGAACGCTCCACTATACTAGTACCTCCTCGTCGCCTAATCCTCAGAAACAACCTCTCAGGTCGACTTCATTGGTGTCTCTACGGCCCCAGTGTTTCCCAATGCTTCTCACGCTCGTCTAGCGCAGTGCGTAGCGCGTCTGCTGTAAAAACCGACCCTTCGACAACACCGATTATTAACAAGTCCCTGCTGGCCAGTTCCAAGATCTTCCAGCAATAGGATGCAAAAGCTTCGATTTCACCACGCCCCTAACATAAACAGGTCCAGAACACTGTGACGAGACCAGGACGAATGCGAATGGAATGTTTTTACTTCGGGGACTGCCCTCCAACAGCGCTCATCCATGTTCCAAGACCTGCACAAATGCACCAAGAGAAGCTTGTGACAAAAACTCTACACATGCAGAGAGATGGAGGGGACAGAAAAGGAAACTTGATTTAGACAGTCAAGGTTCCGTACCACAAAGCACCCATGGTAGTTCCCGCAAACAGGACAGGTGGCACCAGAGAGCATAAATCACAGCCGTGGCACACAGGCCTCTACAGTGCTGAGCCTCAAGGTGGTCATTTGCCTCCTTCCAGACGAGATCCAGGGATGAAATGGAGGGACGTGACCGGAGCAGTGTCGGAAGCTAATCAAATTGAAATTTAGGTCACCCACAGCATGGTCTTACGGCCCCAAGGTTATGACAGCCCAACAAATGTGCACTCCCGGGAGTGCAACTGTGACCCCAAAGCTCAAAGCTCCTACGCTCTGAGCTCCAATTACAGGTTCTGCAGCTTGACAACAGAAGCGTGGCTCTAAGAAGAGATCGGACAGGCAATCTCTCGACCGGCACAATCACAGTGGACTAAAAAGTCAAACGCATCCCTGGCATGAACCTTTTTCAACAATGCCTAACCTACAACACGATACTTGCGCTCACGGTTTCCGTCTTCGCGACTCCTCGCATCATCACCACATTCCATCACCCCTCTCCCAGGCTTCCCGATAGTTCCACATAGCTACACCTTCAATTGACAACCATCCCACCTCCCTCGACCCTCATCTAACTCAACATAAGGTCCAGAGCCTCACAGGAAGCGGATCTTACAATCCTCGGGCCTCAGATCTCCATTCTTGATCGCTAGTCCACCACAAGCCATTGCATTTTCTCCAAGAACACCACGAGTCAGATTATCGAGGTCCCACGCTCATCCTGACCTCGGGAACGCCCGCTGATAACACCAAAATGTTCGCCACCGAGCCTCCTGCGTCCCTGTGCACGCAATCTCGGCTACCGATCTGCTCACCACATCATATTCGCATCCACAAAGCCACGAAACCCTCCCTCTGCCCGCTCTTGCTCCCTTCCTAGCTCCTCCCCTCCCCTCCCTCCCTGCTGCTCCTCCCCTTCCTCTCCCCTCAGAGAAGAGAGAAGGCGACCATCGCCCTAGCTTCACGAACCAGACTGACGGACGACGACGTCCACGACTCGCAACTCCAGCTCCTCGGCCCCTCCCCTCCCGTCCCATTCCCTTCCCTTCCTTCTCCACTTTCGTGCGTTCCTTCCAGCACGTTCCGGCCCTCTCCGTCCGGCAATCCGCCTCCCCTTCCTCTTCTGCGTCCGGCGTCCGGACCCCGGACCCCGGCCGCGGCTTTGTCGTACCCTGTCCACTTAAGGCTGTGCTAGATATGCTTCGATTTGCTCGGGCACCCTGCGCCTTCTGCTCTCTGCCCGGCCGTGCCCGGGCAGCCGAGCCATTACTCCGTACGTGCTCTTTTGTCCCACCTGCTGCTGTGCGGCACAAACTTCTGCCTTCCTTTGCGATTTATTGCGGGCATGTTCACACGGTTCGGGTCCTCTCTCCGGCTCGGAACTAGCCACCGGCGATTATTATTATTATTATTATAGTAATGACGTGGTTCGAATTCAAACTACAGTTCTATAAGGGACATGCGTCCGATCTGTCTTTTCCCGGGGCGATCCCTCGCCGTCCGCATATGGACCCCGGTCCTGCCGAGGATCGATCCCGTTAAGGTACTGTACCTTCCGACTGGTGCAATTCGCCGTTCGAACGAGGAGGTCCCTCCGGTCTGCATCTGCATCTGCCTACGCGAGATCCATCGCTTCCTATACGGAACTCATTTCTCGTCTGTGATGTCTCTCTGTACGATCCGGCTCTGGTTCTGTACGTCACTACAGGTGAACCACCATCTCTCAGATCTGCAAGTCAGTTCTCGGTTTGTATTGTTCCTTCCGGATGTGACAGGTTTGGCAGAATTATAAAACGAAAAATTCCAAATTTGACGAGTGTTGTCGTCGAGGATTTTCCCGTAGCTACGCAGTGTCGGTGATCTAATTTTTATGCTAGCTTCGATCTGTATTTCTGCTCCGCACTGTTCCGGATGAGGGAGAATTCGTCCTCCGAGGTCAGGCTAGCTAGGAATGTTCCGATGGAGGAAGGGCATGCTCCTGGACTCCAGTATCAGCCGATGGACCTTTCCCACTAATGCTAAAAATGCTCTTAATTTCACTCGCAAAGGAATTCGAGGAAAATGTTTTAGCTTCGGGACTACTTCCGCTGTACTTCTGTAGATCCATATCTACTTCATCGCCTTCATCACTCCCGTGTGTGTCCGCATGTTGTGTCGAGGAGGTTAAGTGGACCTGCAGCATCTTGGCCTCTAAGAAAACCGTAGCCTTCTCTCATCAAACATACGAGAGAATTTCATTACTTTGTCAAGTACGTGTGAATATGAAACGTTTTAAAATTTACTTTCATTCGATAGAAATCATCTGAACTAGAAAAATGGGGCATATTTAAACAGATGTGGTTTAGTCCTAGCAGAAATTACTTTTTTTAATTATATTGCACACACATCAAACCCTCTAGTAGATCTTAAGTATACATTTTTTTACATTTACTTTAATACAATAAAAATGAATTCTTTTGGAATGGCGATTAATATATAATTTGCTGTTAGAAGAAAATTAGTATAACATGACACTATACCAATACTTGAAAAGTGTACATACGTCATATCACATATAGTAGATTTTCCGAGTTGATAATCCTGAAATCTCACTTAATCTTATCAATTCAACGAGCAAGCTTCTTTCGGGTGCTTGTTTCTGCTCTAAAGCTTCATATGACCTACATTAACTACCACCATTGAATTTGTATCATGCATTCAGTAATTAATCATTCAGCGGCTGCATGCACAACCCCTGGAGTTGGTCTTGAAAGGTTCTCGTAGACCGCCTTCACATATACACCAGAACAAAGTGATGTGGTTTCTTTCATTTCATTACATAACCCATCTATGGATTTTAGATGGCCTTTGTGGTTTTATGATGTACACACGTTCTTGTGATATTCTCACACGAGCATGAGATTCTCATGCTCGATTCTTCTGCCCCTTTTCGACATGCTGCTTCGAATGTAAGCAAGTATGCAAATCATACTAGCCATAGCATTGATGCCGGAGACTTCGCCTTCTAGTAGGGAAAAGTAAGAATATATTAATTAATTTATTTATATTTAACAATTCATATAAAATTCCCCGACTCTCTTTAGCTGCTCGAGGAAGGGCGATTGACGAAGTCCATGGCTTCTCGTACCGGGACCTGTGGTGATCGGTCAGTCTGTGTGTCTGACATGAAACTCGGAAGAGACGGAGATGTGATGCACGTAGCGAGTGAAGAACCGTGTCCAGCCTCCGAAACTCACTCCCAACATCGGGACCAGTGGCTTGGGGAATTTCTTGGCGATCCCTCTTCAAACCTTTCGGGGGAGACGCGGAACTCGGAAGATCAGAAGCAGGGGTTCACTACGTGACAACTGGAGCCGAGGAGGATGTGGGTGTGTCGATGTCGACGCAGACCGTCTTTTATTCCATGAGTCTCCTTTCCCCACTCCGCCCGCTTTAAGAAGCCTTAACAATCTATTGTCTACTCGGTCGAAGATGCTCGCGGGCATCTTCCGCACTCCGCAGCTTCACGGCACCCGGACGCAACGTGACACCCGGGCTCGATCTAAATCGGGGCGTCGGACCTTTTCCGCCTCCGCGGACGGACATCTCCAAGAAGGGGGAGAAAAGTCTCTCCCGATTCCTCGCCGTGGAATTGCAACCGTTTTGCTCTGGCGATCTTCGCCGGCCTTACGAGGCAGGCAGGCAGGACCGGACTCACCGGCCTCCGGCTCCGGACGACCTCCTCTCATCATCATCATCAGGTCATTGCGTCAGTTGGATCCGGGAGAGGAGCACGTTCATCCCTCCCATACATACAAACATCGTATCTCTAACCCACTTTAATCTACTCCATACATACCCTCCGAGGCCACGGGCCCCGACGGGACGCTTGCGGACGCCCATCCCATCGTGCTCCATACGCCAACAACATCTGGTCTACACTACTACTCTCTGTGCTGCCCCACTGCGTACAGCTCCGCTGTCAGACCCCGACTCCGTAGCATACAGCGTCAGATGAAGCGTCACAGTTCCCGCCGAGCCAGTCATAAATCCCCACACAAAAGCCGTCAGGCTTCCTTGTCTACCACGTAATATTCCAAACTATGACACACCGCAAGCCCCTACTACGTAACTCGGAAAGCATGAAGTCCACTGGTTCAGAAGTAGAGGCAGTTCATACTTCATACGGGAATTTTGACAGATCTTGATGCAAGGTGCATGTGATCGTAGGACCATGATGATTTTATTTTTTATTTTCAAGTGTGCGTATCCTGGCCAGAACACATGAATTCCTATAAATGAAATCGTTGAGTACATTCTCTGACCGAGATCGATTGATGGATACGTCTTTTTCGAAGAGTATGATTTGGACTTATCTTCCAGCCCTAAAGTGGAACTTAGTATTTTCCTCCAGTCAAGTATGCACCGAGTGAATGTAGCAAAAAGGATGGGAAGACCCTTTCCAGTCGTACACTCAGGACGTACGGGCTGAGTAGGACGCGTATAGTACCCAATTGCAGTACAATGGTAAGTACATCTTACCGGAATTGATATGTATTGCTTTCCTGTATTGGTATTGCTAGTTACGGATCAGGGACGTAGTCCATAGAGAAGGTTTCAATTTTGTGTCGTACTGCGTAAAAAAGTGGAACACAAAAAAGTTGTTTTTTGAGAACGATGAGTTGGTGGAATTGACGTAGTCCTTCTGTAACACATGCAGAGAGGACAGGTTAATGCCAATCCTCTGCATCATAATCATTGAAGAAGGAACGTATGGAAGCCTTGCGTTCTTATTCTCTTGCACAGCCTTTCCAAAAGACAGTAACTGCTTTGCCCTTCCTTCTTCCTTTTTCAATAACTCACACATCGCAGTATTTTTAAACCTCACCCATGAATCCTGGAATCAGTTGTCGAAACCATATGTTTCATGTCAGTGATACAATACGTGTTTTACTACCCGAGAAAAAGTATCTTTTTCCTGACCCGAATTTTTTAAATATTGAGATCATCACGTTCGATGTTGACATGGATCACATTCTTACGTGATCCATGTCAACCTTTTGCCACTCATGTGCATGTTTGTGCATTTTCTCGTCCTTCTTTGATATTTTCATTTTTTTAGAGGGTCTAATACATAAATATTATTGCCTCCCCAGGTATGTGTAGCGTTGTCGTGGAGGAATCTACCGACCATCGCTTAGCAATATTCGAGGTCTTATGATTTTTGGGCTCCTGACTTGGATCCAGAAGCTCGCCAGAGATCATTGCTCAGCCTTCACCTCTGGACAAGCTCAAAAAATAAAGTTTAATCCACTGCAAGATTCTATCATTCCAAACAGGAGATTGGCCATGATCAAACACTTGTAAGGGTCCCATTCGACAATTCAACCTCCTTTACTAGCTCACTTCTTCCTCCGTTAATTAAAGTAATTTGGACCCAGAGGACTCAATTTGTTTAATGTTTAAAAGAAAATTTTGAAATACAACTTTTGCAAATCGATGAATGAAATTCTACGGAACCTTGTGAAGGGCAAACGTCTTATGCCATATGATACTTTTGTAGATTCAGCTGAACCTAGTAAACTTGGACGACAGAGTTCCTCACCGATCGAGTCATGACCAGAAGAAGGACCTATATACTATGATTTCATTTCCAAGATATTATTAAAATTATTAGAATAAAATCATCTTATACACCGGTAACAAGTATGGCGAGAACTGCATGCATTGTGATTGATGGGCTGTGGGGACGTCGACGTGGACATCCACGGTGGCCCGTCGATCTCAAGATACACCGCGAACCTGGAAAGAAATGTGGGGCGGAGGATATTCCGGCGTATCTCATTTTAATATTCGTTTAATACTCCCTTACACGTAAAGTGTACGGGAAATCCAACAGGCCCACTTTGACACACCATCTTCCAATCCCATCGTTTGAGTTGTCCACTTGGCACCCGTTTCATCCATGAATGTGGGGAACAGAGAAGAAACAATACAGAATGGGCCCGACGACGGACAGAAAGACTGACGGGGGACGCACTTGCGAACGGAGGCTGACATTTCTATTCCTAATTCCGAGGGCGGGACCTGCAGGTACTGAAGTGTGCTGCAGGAACTGCCACGCGGACCGACGCTCCCGTACCACCAGTCAGGCAGAGGCTCGGAGCATGTACTTGACCCTGGTCCTGCTGACCATCCTGCCAGCTCGGATCGACGCTCCGACGGGGAGCGTGACATGTACGTCCTTGGGTCCACTTCTTGCTCTGCACTTGGAAGTCACTCTGGACGACCTGGATAAAGTTTCGCCTCCTTGGCTCCTACCTTTGTCATGTAGTGCTCTTGGTCCCCGAACATACGTACAGAGTATTTGTACAGGATGTAGATAGAACTTCAGAGGGCACGTAATGACCATGAAGATATACAACCGTGAGAGTATTCTCCTCTTCCCAACTTCAAAGAAGAACGTAACTGTAGGAAGACCGAATACGAAGAACAGAAGACTGGAGGAAAAAGATTTCGGAATGTTGCCCCCTGCAGAGAGCGGGCACAGGATTTATGAACTCCACCGTCGACGTTTATACGAAGAGAATTGTAGAAATAAGTTCATGTCCTGGGATAGATTCTTAATCATGACCTCGTAGTTTGCTTCTTAAGGGAGAAATTTGTTTGATCTCTGTCATGCGGAGGAGAGTACGTGATGCTCTTCTCTGTTCACATCGATGCCGATGTTCTGAGAACTGGTGCCTGTACTCCCTTGTGGAGGTTGAGATACGTTGAGCTTTTGTCTCATCTGCTGGGCTTTTTTTATCGAACCTCTTGGACGCACGGCGGGATGGCGACGGGGAGGGAGAGACGGTGGAGATTTCCAACTTGAAAGCACGAGAGAAGAGTCCGGGAGAGGACAGCACTGGCAGGGCTCGCTGCTTTGCGTTGATTCATTTCCGGATGTTACTCGAGTACTTTTTAAACCCCGATCTTCACTGTGATTCTCAGGGAAAGCTTTGAATTATCTGACTTCTGGATAGAAAGATCAATTAATTGGACATGCTTCAAACAAAACTTTTATCTTTGATTTCATTCTATCACTCTCAATTACAAAGATACCGTTATCATATAAACATTGTAGCGCCACTGCTAAAGTGCACTTAGACGGGCATATTTACTCTTTGTTCATTTTTAAAAATGGGCAAAAAAAATGTATGCTTTATGTGTATAAAAGAAGAAAGAAAAAGACGTAGAATATCACTTTTTAACAGTCGGTCCAAAAGGAAGGAAATTCCAGTAAACGAGACAACTGTCACACATGCACAAATTTCACAAAATGGTGGAGACTTATTATACAGCAGTTTGAGTAGATAGCATCAAGGAGACCGATGGCAGATATGAGTGAACTTCATGCAATGAATATGTATGCCGATTAATGAGGCACGAGCACAATTTCGTGTGATTTGCATTGTGTACAAACGTACACTTTTCATAATATAATGGAAGAGACTTGGCACAAGGAGAGCACTCACAGCGGTATTCGTAACTGACTCCCTCGTACATACTAGACTTGAATAGGTAACAAAATTTGCTCCCGGTTATATAGCAAGAAGGATAGGAATATCCCCATGAAACCAGACAGGTAACATGGAGCTAGAGCCAAAATAAGATGTAAAATACATGTGCAAAGAGCAAACAAAAGATCACAATTTACATCGTATCCGCATCCTGTTAGACTTTCGTCGTACATTACATCATGTTCAGTGTCGCTTGCACATGTGTGTGAACATGTCTGGAAAGTATTGGGTATATAAAGATGATGTCATCATATCATATAAACGATATAGCTCTGTGACGTAAACCTCGAATACACTCTATTTACATTGCTTCGTCTCACATTCATAATTTGAAAATAAATTCTCGTATAACTCAGACATGTCCACATACATTTATTTCCATAGAAAGTGAAGTCAAAAGCTGAAACCTAACATTCTACCTTACAGATGGTTAGTTTATAGGCCCGACTTGCGAACAAATTAAATGGGGGTTGGCGAAATTATTAAAAGAATTAGAGGAGAAAGAGTTCAACAGAAACCCAAACTATTGTACTGTTGACATTCTTAATTATTGTAACTTTCCACATATTAATGTGATATCTTCATTGTGCATATCGTAGCAACAAATGTATTATAGTAATATAGCAAAAAAGACTGGAAGTGCACATGGTTAATACTAGCAATGAATTATTAACTCTTACAAAACTCACCAACTGCAACGAACACCTATTAATTCCAAACTACAGTTTTTGATGTAATTTTGCGAACCCATCGGTTTAAGTCATATGCCAAGAAAACAGGAAAAAGCAAAGCTCGAATACAAGTGCCTCGGCTAAGTATGACCATGTAACATCTACTTGTGCAAGAAATTTTGTACTACCTGATGCCCTATCTGCATGCGATTCGTGATCTGCTTTACAGTTGTGGTATGAAAGTTAAGATTTACAAAATGAACCAGCCGAAGGGTAAGGAATCTGTCATGCATATGAGGGAGGATGTATACTGAACAATACATGGAGCCATCCGTTGATGAGACAAGCATGACCCCACCCCCAGCCCTCCCACGGTCTCCCTAATGTGGATGGGAGATAAAAAGAGGACTTTAAAATTTATTATTATTTTCCACCGTGAGAGTTATTGTCCTTCATGGAACATTTTATTCCTTTTTTTTTCAGTTCACTTTGAGGATTCAGTCCACTACCTCTTGCTAATACCACTACGACATAATAAATGTATAGTTTTCATGACAGCAAGGAGGTGACTTTGGGGATATGTTGAGATTGTTGGATCCAAATTTTCCACGGTGAGAGTGATTGTCCTCAGGAAACATTTTATTCCTTTTTGTCTCAGTTCACACTGAGGATTCGGTCCACTAACTCATGCTATCACCACTACGACATAATAAATGTATAGTTCTCATGACAGCAAGGAGATGACTCTGGGGACATGCGGAGATTGTTGGATCCAAATTTTGAGCGATACATGCGGATCCCTCTACCACGAACTACAATAACAGAGTCGCATACTACACGTCAAATGTCAGGTCAACATCGAGATAATTTAGGCAGTGAATCCGACGTGTTTTTATGGTGAACATTGACATAGTGACTTGTTTCGTGCCTGAAAGAAGCTGAGACTCTCTAACTCCATTGATATTTGCCAGGTTCAAAAGTCAAACCAAGGCGACTGCACCACATTCTTTTCTGTGTTGAGTCCGCCTTGATTGATCAAACTCGAGAGCCTGCAGGAGATCATGAATCTGCTGCGCTTCAGGTTGCCTTCCAGACTGCTGACCCATCTGTTATTCTTTATGCGTTGAAAACTTCGTTCACAAATCCGGGACCTTTCCTTATCTGGCTCGTCAGCTGCAGTGTCATGTATGATTACACAACTCCGTTGCAAGCTGCGTCTTATGTTCGGATGTTGATTGATTGCCAAGAGAACGATAAGGCGGAATTCACAGCAGACGATTATGTCCGAGAAAGTCATCTACATCATCAATCAGGTTCAGAAGGTGGGTACCAACCTCTTGACCAGATCCTTAGGCCATTATCTGTGGGTGGGCCTGTGAGACACTCAGTCAACGCGGCACCTTTGTCTCGTGATTGTGCTCTCATTGTGAAAACAATGGGTCAGCTGCCAGAGTGCGGCTGCTTTGTCTGACCCGTCTTCCTTTGGAGAGGCGAGCCTTAATCTTGGCTTGCTTCACTCCACATGACTTCTCCTGGTTGAGATTTTTGCGATAACACCACCAACCTGTCAGATGCTGTACGGCGACACAGACGACTTTCGGCATGAAACTTCCATATGGAAATTACGTTTGTGGCCGTTACTATCTAGCAATGTCGAATTGATTGAGGCAGACTTCAAGCGACTAAGGCAGACTTCATTTGCCGTGCTGCAATCGACTCGGTCCAAATGGATTCGTGTACAGTGCGGATAAAACACGGATTTCGAGAGATACTGACAGTCAAGGCCTGCGTCGTGGAGATACACAGATACATTCTCGACTTCAGCTCCTTTGTCAAGGCCGAAAATGTACGAAGTGCGGAGTGTCAGTAGACATGTCATCGACTTCTACACAAAACTGATTTGTACATCCAGGGTTGGTGTACAATTCGCCAAAATCACTCCAATAACTTTTATAATTATTGACATGGTCTCTACGGCGTATAGTGCTAATAATGTACTTTGAAGAAGTAAAATCCAATCTTCATCGATTGAAAATCGAAAAGCAAAAGGCGCGGAGAAAAAGTAGGGCCGTGAATACAACTTCCGTGCTTCATTACAGCTGTTGGTAATTTCAGCCACATAGAGCAAGCAAACCTCTTAATGAAATGGTAGGGAGAGCTTCCAGAACTCTCCCTACCATCTCCTACCGTCATTTTGTTTCCTATCATCCTGCACTAGGGGGATTGTGGCCCTCTTGTACTAAATTTGAGTTATTCGGAGCTATGATGGTCAACCAGATACGCTGAGCAATGAGCGTCTCCACAAAAACCAAAGATATTATTTGCAACCTAAAAAGGGATATCGCACAGATGGACAAGGATAGTTTTTGTCTTGTTCATTTTCTTCGTAGGTGCAAAGGTGACAAAAAAAGTTTACGCAGTAAGCATTTATAATGTACAGCTAATCGTGTTCTGTGTCCCTGTAAAAGGATGCTCTTAACCGTATTGCATCAGAGAATTCGACGCCTTCAACCCGTCCAAACCTACAGCTGAACTTGCATCGACTAAACATGAAATAGCTATTCTTCATCTTGCAGAGAAGTGCCTGCCGTGGATATTCTCATCCATTCTCGGCTTGGTCGTAAGAATTCGACTTGTGCTTTGGTTGGAAGATGAAGTTGGGGGGAACTGGACCCAGCAAAAATTCTGAAATTTTGATCTGTTCACGGCAAAACATCAAAACTTAGTGACTTTACGGCATGAGACTACTAAAACTGTAAATATTCCAAAACAGCAATTACGATATATCATTTGGACTACATAATTCCACTAAGTACGATAATATAAGGTACTGACTATTATCTGTTGTTTATCGTTTGATACGGTAATAGACCAGTCAACTTACCCAATCCACAGCACTTTCAGATGCCATCATCGTCTCGAGATCATTCCTCCCGAAATAACTTGGAGGCCTCCAATTCAGACGCTGCGGTACAACCTCCAACAGACCGACTGGAATATACCGGTGCATGTAGCTTAGCCATTCAAGTAGAAACTTTCTTGTTACTTCCACCCCTGTAAAAAGAAGCAAAGTTAATATAAGACTTATGGTATAAAGGGTTTGAAAGTTTTAGCACAATGAACGATGTATTGAGCAATTTCCCAAGGTTTAATCTAGAAAGATTACTCTATCCACTCCCAAAAGAGATGAAGAATTTCGGGTACAGACGATACCTTTGGCATCAGAGCCCCAGTGTGCAAGACCAGCGTTCACATATTGTCTTAGAATATCTAGCCTCTCACTTGAACTGATATCCCAATGTCTCGACTCTTTGATTTCTGTGAAAATCCATGGCTGAACACAATCCCCAATAACTTGTGAGATTTTGAATGCGTTGTGATATTCTTCATGTGCTACCAAAAATGAACCAAACTCATGCCAGCATGCTGGAACTGGCAGAGTTTCCTATCGAATGTCAACCATGTAACTTTCCGGAATGTCCTGAGCGTGCTTCAGTAGAACCTCCCAAATTCATGCACGCACCAGGACGTAACCGGTTCAAATATTAGTTCTTACTTGACGAGATTTAAAATGAAGTCCCAAAAATTAAATTATTGTTTATGTAAATCAGGAACAGAATTGACCTTCTCAGACTGGTTCATACCTTCATTAGTGCTCCACGAGCAATCATACATGTGGAGAGCTTGGAACCTGGGGTCCGAAGGTGCTCATCCCAGTCCGTGTAAGCCATGATATCTCCATTACCGATAACCTGTAACTTGTCTGTTGCGGCATTTACACAATCAGCAACGTAGTCCCAGTTGGCCAACTTGCTATATCGCTGCTGACGAGTGCGTCCATGGATCGTGACAGCACTAACTCCCCATTCATAAAGGTTTGGCATGAAGGTATGAGCACAGTTCCGACCTTCGTAATACCCTATCCGCAACTGTTAAAAAAAAAACATTGTCAGCCACATATACAGCCTAACTGTTATCATAAGTATGTCGCGCCAGTCGGCCTGGTCGGAAAAAAGATTAGTCATCCAGGCTTCAGTAATGCTAGTGTGAAGAGAACTATTGTTTGAAGGTGAGTTGATAGAAGTACGAAGAAAACGATAGGTTGTGATGCATGTCGACTTTCGTTGATCTGCAACTTGAGAAATGCTTTTAAATGAGAAGGGTCTTCCATATCGTGGGCTTTTCCGATGAATGTGAGTATTTCCAAGTTCCAACCTATCGACCAGGAACCTCTTTACTAAGTTATCCACTAGACGGTCATAAAAGGCCTAGTAACTGTGGCTCGATAGTGCGGCTGCTTTGGTTTCTTAAGAAAAGACCAGTAATAATTTGATGATACAAGCAAAGCTACAATCAAAATAGAGTAAATACTGCGTCGTACGAAAATGAACAAACTTACCATGTTCCTCTGTCGATTTGAGTGATGCAATGGACTTAAGTCAGCACAAGGAAACCAACCTCTTCCTAACAAAAGCTTGGAGTACACCGGGAAACATATTACCTTTACAGTAAGAGGATGTTCCATAACGCCTGCAGTGGCTCGCACAATTTGCTCCAGCCTTTGTGGCTTCGTCAAGAGGCAAGATCCGGCTCCATTGTTAACAACTAGATCTATTGGGCAACCCATATTAATGTCAATGAAATCCACCTCACATTCTCGCTCAATCATTTCGGCAGTCCGGGCAACGTGGTCAGGAAAGCCACCACATATTTGTACTCCGAAGATATCTTCAGAGGAATGCCTTCGTAACAGAGCCCATTCTGAAGATGCTCCCTGCAATAATGACAGTTTCCCTTACGTTATTTCCACGAACACATAGTAAAAATTCATCCAAATGCAATTTCTTGTGCGGGTTTAGAGTTCAGACCTGTAGAAGGTTTCTGCACATTGCCATTTCACCACAAGTAATATCAGCTCCAAGACTCTTGCAAACCCGTCTAAACGGTAAATTTCCAACTGTTGTTAAGGGTGCCAAATACAGCTTGTCCCTAAAGTCAATCAATTTTTTCTCCCGAGGATTCAACTTGGACTCGAGGTAGAGTGTTCTCCAGTGATGTTTGCCAGCAGTAGGCATATTAACCCCTTCCTCTTGTAGCAACTGACTAAAACTAGTATCCTCAAGCTGAACATTCTTATCAGGGTTCAAATCTACTTCGGCACTCGTATCCATCGCAGATCCCTTTGTGATGACTTTGGGCCTTTTAGTCCGATGTGTCTTGGCCGTACTTCCTGGAAGACTCTGTTCAGTTTTATCCAAATTATTTCCAGATATACCCGTTGCTTCGGCAACCGTTGTCACCGGAATACTGCTGACTATAACTTGCTGATCATCTGGCCCTTTAGGTCCTTCATCGTCTACAGTGTTGAGCTTGAAGGCTTTGCCCTGGTTGAAGCGAGAATTCATTAGAAATGTCCATAAACAGGTCTAGTATGCACTTAAAGCGAACTGAACGACATTGGGTTGAACTTTGGCGCATAGATTAGACTGCACCCAGAGGTGGATTTTAGAAATAAGACTACACAGATTCAAAACAGCACAGTAAAGGAAGAGTTATGAAGGAGCATCAAGTGCATAACTAAAACATTTTAAGGAAATTCAAGGATTACCATCAAACCCATCGCGCGTAACTGGGCATCAGCCTTTGGATACTGCCCCTTATTTTTCCATAATAACTTTTGATAATCTTTTCTCAATATGTTTCGCTCATTTGCGGGAACGTTAGAAGGCTTCTTCTTACTGCTCTCTAACACGTAAAAGTCCTTATGTGTCCCAGCGAATCTGCATGTAAGGCTGTACGAACACGGCTCTCCAGATTCCAAAGAAGGACAATTCCCTGGTAAATCTGGAGGTTTCTGCAAAGCAAAAGAGTGAGTTCCATAAGAAAGGAATATTTAGTCCTTCTCCAAAACCTGACAACAGACTTGATGAAAAACTGACTCATTAAAGAGGACTAGCCCCCACGTAAAATTGAGGTGTTCCATTGGAACCTCTTTAGGATACCTACAATAGACAGCTTCGGTATGAGCTACCTCTTTCAACTGTTTCTGCTCATCTCAAAATCGAAAAAGGGTTGTCAAAAGCTCGTTACATCCATGATACAAACAGTACTTCCCACAGTCTCCAACCACATCTAGCTGACCAAACATCTTCATGCCTTCGAATTTGTTCTACAAACCTGTGCCATGTACACATCCAAATTGTGATTGAATTGGCACTTGTCCCCATACGGACATTTGCTAGGGTCCCTGGTTTTAGCTACAACAGCACAAATGTTTGTTGCAGATTTCCTTGCCTGCAGTAAAAGTGAGACATAATATTAGGGAAAATGCTCAAGAAAATTCCCAAGACATTAAACATGTTTCAAAAAGAGGCTTACCATGTTAGTCTTTACGCTGAATTTTGACTGAATGCTCACATTTTACTTGCTTTAAAGTGAAAGAGATGAAGGCCTACAAGAAGACATGTGAAAAAATTATGTTACAACTGTGGCTATCTGTACATTATAACTGTGTCTTAACACATACCCCAATACTTCAAAAGGAAATCTCCAGAATACTGATACCCAACAACCAGTCACACTCACCGACTTCCCTGTCTCGTGCCATGCTATAAACGCTATAAAGCCGAAGTTAAACTCTTGGCCAAGAGCTGGTGACTACAGCAAGAATTCCAGCCATGAAATCCCAAGAAATTCACCAAAGAAGACATACTCCACAATTTTCCAGGCCCTGGCGTGTACTGGAGTTCATGAAGACTCTACGTTTGAATGCGAACGGAAAAAGGTAAAGTAGAGGGATATTTTCTTCCGCTGATTAATATATCATGTTTTTTTGTCGTCACTTAGAGTTTCCCAGCTGACTTCCTCCAGTAGAGATGATTCGCTAAATGATATCCTGAAATCGCATTCCCGCGCAGAGGCAAAACTTGAAAGATGTCTACATAGGAATGACACATGGGAAACTGACAGATAATGCCCTCTTCTTTGGACTCCCAACTCATGATTGCGCGCTCCATTGCTCAATGCAAACGCAGGAGAATCCAAATACGAAGATGATCCACGTGTTCATGATGACGCAGTCTGATGCACCAACAAGCTTCCGACTTGAACATTCCACTCGATAGCAGAAACAATTTCAATCGATGTACTACAAAACTTGTTGAACAAATATATTGTTCTCTTAAAAATTCAAAGTTCGGTTCAAAAGCCAAACAAATTAGCTGGATGAAAGCAGTGTACCTCCAATCTATTCTTCTTCAGTTTTCGTTTTGAAATCAGCGTTTTATCGTTCTTCTCACTTCTTCCTGTCACGCCGTGGGGATTCACCACTCTCACTCCTGCAATAGTAAGAAACTCTTTCTTGATAGGCGCACGCGCCTTTGCCACGAGCTCCTCAACAGTCATACTACTCACATCCGGCTTCGCACTCCTATCCGACATCTCCACATCCTCACCACCAACCCGACCTTCTTTCGCCTCCTTCTCTTCATCGGGCGACAAGGACTCAGCCCCTCCACTGAAATCCAGCATAAAATTCATGTCCTCTTGACAAACCTCCATTCCGAAGAGTTTGGAATTCTAGCGCGCAACTACTCCACTCCCGTCGACATCGACTGCTGACATCAAAATCTCCCTCCCTCCCTCGCTCCCTCTCTCAGAGACTCGAGCTCGTTTCTTTGGACGCTGCGTGCTTCAGGTGCAGCAGTTGTTGACGGGCTCGAAGCAAGAAAGCGCTGGGCGCGGCTCGACGTCGCTGCGGATCGACCGGTCACGTCCTCGATTTGTAATACATGCCGCCCAAGAGAAAAGAAACCTGAAGATCTTACATTACTCGTACTGTACTTCACAAATGATGTCAGATCTTGGCGTTGATATTCGTTTTGTTATTTCTGGCATGAAATGCTACAGAGTCAAATGAGTTTTCAGCTAAAAATAAGTATCTTTCGTTGCTGTGCAAAAATTATGGTTTCGAAAGGCACTGTGAAAGTCAAGCCACGTGCAATCAAACGAACTCGACCATATGTGTGAGCGAACTATTTCCATGGGCTAAAAGAGACAAAGAGCAGCTATTAAATCTTTCTGTAATAAGTGGTTTCATGCCAACAGGGCTTGCAATCGACTCATGCGTGGGGACAAATCCTTGTTGAGGTCTTACAATAATTTTAGTGTCAGCTTGAGGGTTCATAGGACTGCATTCTTCTGATAGGCAAAATCGGTTTTGGTTGTATATTGCCCTCTCCAAATAACTAAGTAGATGATAATTACATTTTTTGTTTGAGGAGAGCAGCACCATGATTTATCATTTAATTTTTGAGTCTGAATTATTATGATTGCGCATGAGAATGTTGGGTTCTAAAATCACAATAATATCAGTTTATTCATTAAGATTCCGTAGATTCACCCAAAGAATGATAAAGCTTACATTTTGTGAATCTTCTACCAAATAAAGATAACATCAAAATCTTTTGTGAGCTATGTGCGAGAATTTCATTGAACTGCTTGGACTGAAAAAAAATTTGGCATTTGACTATGACTGTTTTGAGCTCACATCATGATAAAAAGGATTAAATTACTCCTTTTAACATTAATGAATTATTTTATCTATTGGAAAATAAAATCATTATTTACTGTTTTTCTATATCATATTATGAATGATGAAAATATATTTACAAAAATATATCAAGCTAACCGCTATGAGGATAGTCGCAATATTAATGCAAGTGCAATGTCAGATAATATATTTTTAGAAAATATGAAGATAACAAATTTGTGATAAAAAATATGAATATCTTTAGTTCAAAATATTATTTAAATATCATGATGACTAACTTGAGAAAATATTGACAATCGCAGAATTTCTACAGCGTCAATAAAAAAAATAAAGTTATTCTAAGATGCAGGTAAGACTAACATGATTTGGGCTCATGAAATAACAACACATGATTATTAAATATCTCTAAAAGTGTAACAGAGTAAATAAAAATTATTAATATAATAATGAACTGTTATGATTGTTTGAAACACAAGGAAAAATAATGAGCAAAATAATAAGAAATTCATAATAATATATAATATTACTTGATCAGATTTATGGGAAAAATGAAAAGTTTTTTTATCAGTATATTATATGTGATTCACTAAAAAAATTAAAATGAGGAACTGTTTGACCATTCAGTTGAAAGACAATAAAAAATACTAGACTATAGATGATGTCATGTCAGCAGTATTACCTGATTGATGAGAAATTACATTCATGATATCTGCAGGGTTTGCATTTTGAATGGTAGAAGACAGAGCATATCAAATATATGAAAACTAAGTGAGATACACAACATAAAATACACCTCAGGATTCAACAATAGATTTACGTGTTAAAATAATCTCTATATGAAATAGTCCTTGATCAGTTTACAGTATGTTTCAGCTTTTCATGTTAAAAGCAAAATTCAAGAATTGTTGTGAATCAGAACACATACTTATTTGTCAGCTTTAAATCTAACCATTGCGTTGGTATTCTATCTCAATTGTTAAATTCATCTCATATTGTAATATCCAAGTTTAAAACTAGACATTTTTCACTGGTCTTAATTTTCATTTACTCATACTTTCACCTAGTGCAAATTGTAATAGGAATTTGATACAATTCGATTAACAATCAAGTATAGTTGATTAACGAAGATAGTATTTGTAAGTAGTACCTATGCACATAGAAGAGATATATTGGAAAAAAACTAGAAACATAACCTTATTTAGCCAAGGTAGTTAGTGTAAACTAATATCATCCCAAGTGATGCTAATGCTATATAGCTCTAAGTTATTTTTTTCCCGTAAGCTCCTGATTATATCAAAAACTCCTTAAGAAAGTTTTATCCACTATAGCTTTCTTAGACAAATTTTGACTTACTGACAAAAATTTGACAATAATTGCTTATTGATAACGTGGTCGGATATGATAAAATATTATTCAAAAAATTAAAAATTCCAGAAGATATATATCGTCATAAATTATGAAATATTATATATGTACAGATTGATTCACATGAATAATTAAAAAATACAATAGAAATATATAATTAATTTTATACAAAATATTAAAAAATATCAGATAAAATATATTACATATATATTGATGAGAAAATTCTCTGAAGTTTTTTACATGGAAAATCCAAATAATTTTAGTGATTTTTCAGAATATCAAACTAGTCAAAAAAAAATATAAATAAAAAATCAAGAAACAATATAACAATATGTCTTACAAGTAGTCGTGGAAAAGTAGTTGTCCAATATAATTGTTAGTCGAAAAGTCTATGTTCAGTATAATTGTTTCTTTCTTATAATCGAATCTTGGAATCTATGTATAACTATAAGGTCTTATAGTACCAAAGAGGGAGGAAGCAAATGAGATGACTACAGTATTGCAACCTGGTACCGAAATCTATGTATTTAAGGAAATGTCGAAAACCAATGGCATAGGGGTATGTGGCAATATGATCCCATCTGCGAGAGAACTTGAAGACTGTGCTTGATTCGCTTAATCAATTACATTACATAATTCTGTTGCAGATTAACATCAACATGAGTTTAAAATCAATTCATAATATGATTTTATTTCTGTGAAAAGAGCCCCAATGGAGGAAGAAAATTTGAATACACCACCCTTTCTGGCCAAAGGAAAGAGTAAGGCGTAAGTTGCTAGACTCAACCACGGGAGGTCATATTTGCGACTCAACAAGCTGCCACTTTCTTTTATGATAATCAACGGGATGAAATTAGAGAAGTAGAGAGCAAATGAGTAACTCTTCCTCCAACAGGTTCACGTTGCAAACGAACTGCGGTCAGTTCCTCTTGCTGCGAAACGACCTCGTCTTTGCTTCCTGATTGTTCCTAATCACGATGTGGACAAAAATGTCCCTAACCACGGTCCGTCCAAACGCGACACTAGTTAGTAAGATAGGTTTGTGCGCATTATGGTGAAAATGAAAATGACAGGAGGTGGGTGAAAATGGCAGAAGGGGAGAATGACTGGGCGGCATGGGGAGTACGAGGGGCCGGCCATGAGTGGGACTTGAGGAGCGTCGGAGGAAGGAAGAGGAGGAAGAGGAGGACCTGGAGGAGAGAGGGATCGCGGGGAGGCAGTCAACTTTGACGAGAACAACCGAGCGGGCGGGCGAGCGAGCAAAGCGCGTGCAGGGGAGGGATACCGAATAAGAGTTCATAAGAGGTGATTGCATATTGCAGATCGGCTGTTTCTCGAGTGTCAGTCGCCCGAGCTTGCAGTGTTTGATCTCGATTTGGCTGCACTTTTCGTTATATTCCTTGCCTTTCTCTCGTTCTGCTCGTCGGTTGGTCGTCTTGTGAAAGAGGGATCTGTGGAGGAGGAGGGTAGTAGGAGGAATATCAACAGGGAGGGGGAGCGGCCGCCTGGTCTGTTGAATGTGATTTCATATCTACCGTGCTCGTACCCTGTGAGAGGAATCTGAGATCGGGAGCTGAGTTACGAGGATTAGCGTTGCCGTCCCGTCGAGTCCGATCGAGATTATTTTGTAAACGAGGAGGTTGGAAACTCTTGTGGTGTTCTAGGAGGTGAACGATGGCGAAGGGTTCTTCACAGAGTCAGGCATCTTCGGTGGTGTCCAGGGGTGCCGGAGGCCCCGCTGCCGGAGCTCCGCCGAGAGGGAGCGCTGCTGCTTCAAGTTTGAGGAGACGAAGGACCACGAGCTCCAGTGGAGGTGCCAGTGGTGGTGGCGGTGGTGGTGGTGGATATGGCGGAAACTCGAACATGTTGCGGTTCTACACCGATGATGCCCCAGGACTCAAAATCTCTCCCACAGTCGTGCTCATCATGAGCCTGTGTTTTATCGGATTCGTCACCGCCTTGCACGTGATCGGAAAGCTCTACCACTTGAAAACTGCCGGCGCTTAAGGAAATACGGACTGATGCTTCTTGTAATTAGCTACGAAGAGGGTCAACGGGCTTTATGCCTGTGCAGCCCATAACAGGTTTCTCACTGTGTGGGGAGATTTTGCAAGGTAGATCTGATAGCGATGACCTAAAGTCAGGTCTTTCGTTTTCTGAAAAGATCGGTGGAGCTATCGAAGCTCTGCCGCCAGGCTCACCCTTGACATTGGGGCCAGTGACACAACTTTAGGTAACATTAGGGTATTCTTTCATATGATGTTCAATGACAAGTTAAGTTTGAGAGTAAGCTTCGCGAAGGCCTCGCACGTGATTTTTTCCTTAAACGCCTCGTTTTATGGATTTGGGATATTGAGTCTTAATATGTCATCATGTGGGTTCTGGCACTTGCATGGCTTACCTTCTCGGAGATCTGTCCGTGATCTTGAAGATTTTTTCATTCCAAGGTCTTTATGATTTCCTCGCAGTGAGAGTGCTCGTCCGTCTGTTATCTTTGAAAACATGCGGCCTGTCCGAAGAATAGCTAGCTGTGGATTCACCCACCTTGTTTTTTGCTTCCTCTGTTCACCATTTGAAGTGGATCATTTTTTGGGTAATCTTATGTTCGACCACTCTGCCTCAATCGGAGGTGCAAAGATTGTCTTGGTTAGTCAAGCCGGGGGTGGAAATATCTGATGTTAAGAATGGCCTAAATCTGAAATTTCTTTTATTTGTCAATATTCTGTACTGAATAGTTCAATTTGATGTCAATCCGGGTGACTTAGACCTAGGAAGATGGACTGCAGATAATCTATCGACAACAGGAAATGTAGTTGATTATATGTGCCGGTAGATGTGTACCGCTGGTGACAGCAAAGAGTTGGGAGGTCAAGGTTGCTATTCCTGTGGCAACTTCGCTGCCTGTTTGCTATCCAGGAATGACTGCAGTGGTCTCTTTAGCACGTCCAACTTCTTGCAGTTGGGGTTAGGAGCAGAAGGCATGGAAGTCCTAACAACTTGTCTACCAGATGACTGCACTGACCTCATCAGCACGTCGAACTTGTTGCAAGCGGGGATAGCAACTGAAGATATTCAAGTTCTGACTACTCTGTATAATGTTGTTGTTATGACCTTGTTCTTGTTGTATTTGTTCTTCATAAATTGACATTGTTCCAATCTGGGGAACCTACCTGCTGTGAGTGTGGCCTGCTTCTTCTAAATGTACACATTTGCTGTCTTGAAATGGGAATATAGAAATTGAGGTCATTACTTGCTGTTGTCTCACTCTAAGAAAGCTTCTAATGGACATGTTGCATTATTCCAAATGCATAATTCATATTCAGTCCGAATCCCGAGAAAGTAGCATTCATGGTACTTTTACAGATACGGATCCCGGCCACACTGACCATTGACATTGTCATTGACGAAAAGATTGTAAACTACGTGTCAAAAGCTAGCTGGTATCTCAGTGTGATAGAAACCATCATAGTGAGTACAACATAATCGTTCTCAGTTTCCACAGATTCGGTGCAAATGAAAAGTGTTGTGATTTAATGCTCCTAAAGGGTTGTTTGAGCTGACAGCTTGACGACTATTTTCAGAAGAATCGATTTTCTATTATATGTATGACTCACAAGTTTTTCCGCTTGTGCCCAGCGCGGCTTGCTTGATTGTGCGAAGGTACACACACACGCGGACACACTGGTCAGACAAGCAAAGAGATGGATAGACACAGACAAGTCGCTACTCACAGAGGCTAGTTTGTAACAAAGCAAACTAATCATTCCTCGCCAACTTGTTTCTATGTGTGATTGTACAACTGTACTGAATAGACCTCCGTCCTGTAGACTGTAATGTCTCGATTTTAAAATTAATACTGGAACGCAAGATGCATTTCGAATCACACAACCATGAGCTTCAGCAGACTGATCCACGAAAATCTGGATTTTGCAGAATACAATTAGCAACTCATTTAATTGTAAAAGCATGAATATATACACCACAAACAGTAGAGCAAATCGTGCCCGGGCTTGTATGGTCTAACAGGAGCTTTAGCTCCAGCCCCAGCACAAGTTGAAGTTCACTGAGGTTTTAAGTTTTTCGTGACGAAGTAGCTCGATAACGGAGGAGGGAAAGAAGACGAAGATGACGACGCTGGTTCCATAACGCATGGCGAAAAGAGACGGGAGCAACCTTGGTGAATACTGTGCTCTAAGTCAAGTTGGAGACTCGGCGCTGAAGTCGTGACTGAGTGCCAGGAACGTGAAAGGCATCTTCCGAGAGCGAGTCAGACAGGACGGCTGCATATCTTAGCACACTTGTGCACACGTGCTTCACGGTCTCTCTTGGCGACGTATGATTGGGTCCTATTCCGGTTCTCGTTGTTTCCTCTTCAGGCATTGGTTCAGCTGAAGATGGACAGCTCCAGTCACGACTCAGCAGTGCGGCTGCTGACGGGGAACGCCTACTCACATCACGTCTTGCGCTCTCCTGCTCCCATCCGTATCGTAGCAAAGAGCTCTTTTTTGGCTTTAGCAGATCTACATGACCTCCATTGTACAATGTGGCGAGTAAGTAAGGAGAAGGATTGTGATACCTATGATCAGTCTATTGCAAAGTTCATAGTTTCACACATGTTGAAAAAATAATTATATGCTATCTATTGCGTATAGTGGAAAAATGGACAACAAATGATGTCCATTTATAATGCGCTCTAATTCGCTCTATTAAGATGACACCTTACGGAGACAATGCTAAGATGAAGGTGCCAATTAAACGAAATGAAAAAGATATGTAGTGTAGAAGAAGTGAGTTTATTGGAATGATGAACATATGAATGAATCAAGTGAATGTTACTCTATCTAAAAAGTCCAATTAAAAGCCCAGTACAGATGTATATATTGAGGAGATAGTTTGCTTCTTCTTAAGCCAAAACTAGGTATTGTTGGTGGTGGAGATGAGTTCCAGCAAAGAATTTTTAATATCATTGGATCCGATGGAGATATAAGAATAATATTTTGAAAAGTAAAATACAGATGTAATTGCTCCACCGACTTAGAGAAACTGGAACAAATTGATTTCAAATCAGGTACATATCTGACTTTAATACTAAAGCTTTATTTCCTTCTCACGTGAGTATTATACGTCATGTGATTTTAACTCAAAGTACATGTTCCACAACTTGAATCTAAATGTTGATTCAAGACTGGATGGTGTGTGAGCTGGAGATTTCCGAAGAAGAAAGATGGATCAGACCCGCTATCACATTTCATGTTCCCGCAGCAAGGCTCGCGATGTTTTACTCTTCGACTATGAACTGATCGAGACAGTGAGTTATGTTCGACGGAATCCATTCGCTGGTGGTTGTCGTTAGTTGATGTAATTAAGATGCGGCAAGGCAGACCGGAAACTGCAAGCGCATCTGCACCCCGTCGGCCTACAGAAAATGAGTTCCGATCATCTTGCAGGTAATGACAGGCGGGGCGGTTAAACAGCACAGATACTTCGGACTACTCAAAATGAGCTAAGTGATGGATGTAACAGAAGCTCAGGAGATTGCGGCCTGCCGAGATAGCAATCGTATTTTCCAGATGCTCATACCCGGTCTTGTAATGAGCAATATACATATACATTCAGACTGAGACTTGATGCATTAGTTTTTTTCAACTAAAACTGACCAATCTCCTTTTCTGGTAATCTAGTCCTGAAAGTCGCTAGAATAAGGCACACGTTGTTCAGCGCGAAATTTCAAAGTGCGTATAATTTCAGGCATTCAGCTCTATGAAGAAACTTGTCAATTAAGTAATGTCTAAAATGCCTAAAAGAAATCAGACCTCTTATTCTGTTTGCAGTTTCATATTTGAATAAAAGTAGATCACGGAGCTAGACATGGTTATAACTAAAATAATTCCTGAAGTTGCTAACCTCAAAGGCTAGTCTGCCTCCTAGCTTGGTTCAGACATGACCTTCCTGCCTGCTCACCAACCCCTTGCCAAAACAGAGAAACCGCTCATTTGGTCGTTATGCAAAAGTTGAAATGAGTCCTCGCATCTGTTGTTACAAAAGAAGAGATTTCTTTGCTAAACTAGCCTGAAGAATTGAAGATGTTCAAGATTTCATTAACAATGTCGGCAAGAGGTGGAAACCAAGCGTGCAATACTTAAGTCAAGATTTTGATTTCTATCAACATGCAGCCACTGGCAATTCAGACTCCAGGACAATGAGGTTTGGAACAGTAGCACATTCACGAGGCGCTATTCAGTGCACTAAGATGTCTAAATCCCAGCTATATCTGAACTTGTAAAATCGTTGAAAAGTAATGAAACTTCTGAGTTATCTGGGCTTACATGCATGATTAGATTTTATACTACGGCGTCATTCATATTTATGTACAAATCTGCGGGAAGACTGATAGATTGGTTTCGATGCGAACTTTGACATTGTACTGTAATGAACCAATAGATTTGCACTTTGCAAATAATAAGATTTAATTTTTTATTATCATTGGATCAAATCCATGGAGTGTCAAATAGTGATACTCTACACAGTCAACCTATACGTCTTTTGCTCGATAAATGTTAACACCACCTCCATATCTTTTTCAACTAGGACAAAATGGTTGGATGCGACCTGAAGTCGGTTGATTTGACGGCGAAACATTCGATATGCAAATTACAACACAAAACTTTCTGTCTTTGTTTCAGTACTGTCTCACTAGTTATCGCAGAAAATTCATCCTGATAGTTCCCGCACGGAAAGAAACCAGTGCTGTAATCGTGCCCATCTTCATAATCTTTGATATGAGCACGAATTTTATAAAGTCTGAGCTGAATGTATATATCGGCATGTCATGAACTTTTCATGTACACTGAGAAAGTCTGCTCGAATGCTTTTAAATTTGGCATATCAACAAGAACTGTATGAGTTTTTGCTGATTATAAACATCCATTTTGATTGAAGTTCGGCTTAATCGACTGAATCTTGTGCTAGTGATTTATATGAAGCTGATATGTGTCCATAATAGTCAGTGCTTGACTACCAGCGAGATTTATAAACTTCGTACACAATTGTTTTGTTGTTGCTGATATACCGCATCGAAAATCTATGAAATTTCAAGGTACAGAGAGGAAGGACTATACTGAGAAGTAGTCTACCGTAGTAGCGAATATTGACATTCCAATACTCATATTTTTGCATCTTCAGCCGATGTTCACTAACTTGAAGGCAAGAGAGCGATAAGAAGAATAGCACCACGGACGATAAATCTTGTAAACACTACAGGGAATTATCTATGTACTAGCTCAAAACTCACACGCGACCACGGTAGCATGTTTTTAGCATACTTCAAATGTTGGAATCTCATTTTGCCC